TTGGGAGAACTAGATAATTACCTTTCACCAGTATAGCCCAGGGCACAGTGATCCGGGCACAGTGCACACAAGCCCACTCCCTACTCCCATAGTTGAAAGTCAGATGATTCAATTTTGCCTCTAACAAGCAAGCCTGTTGCAAGTCCTGCCTCTGACCACGACTCCCATGTCCATGACCCTCGCTGAGCCTCAGTTTCTCCTCCCAGGAGGTCATTGTACGAGGGGCTTCAAACAGTTGGTGGGGGAAACACCATTATCTTGTCATTCCAGTTTTCCATAAACATATGGAAGCTCCCTCATCCATCCTCCCAGCTCTGAATGTGCTGGAACTATTGCGAAGCCCTTCATTGAACCAGTCACTGATCCATTCGTTTTACAAATCCGAGGGGGCTTCCTGGGCTTGGTAGGAAAATGTCATTATCTTTTCATTCCATTTTCCCGCGGACTTTTTGAAGCCCTTTGCATACCCAAGGCTTTGCTGAAGAGGCAAAACTTGAGTTGAATCTTGGGGGCTTAATAAATGTCAGTGAGGTGAAACACCAGGGAAGGACATTCCAAGCAGGGGGAACAGCACATGCAAAGGTACAGAGATGAGAATCTTAGCAGACTTGTAAGGAGGTGCATTTGGCTGGTGTGTGTGTGTTAGGGGACTGGTGGGAAGAGAGGTGAAAAAGACAAGGTAGAATCAGCAAGAGATAATGCCTGGCAAGTAGGAATTTGGACTTTATCCTCAACCGAGGAGGGAACCATGGTAAGATTTAAAAAAAAAAAAGACTGAAGACTTTACTTTTTTAGAGCAGTTTCAGGTTTACAGAGATCTGTGTGCAGAAAGTACAGTTTCCCTCCTGTTCATGATTCTCCTGTGAGTGCCCTGCATGGTCACAGCGGCACACCTGTTAGAACTGATGAACCAATCTGGAGACAGGATGGCGAACATTTACATCAGGGTTCCGGCTTTACACAGAAGAGGTCTTCCGAGGTGTGGCGTAAGCCTGTGGGCTTTGGCAGTGCTTCATGTCATGTGCCCACCGAGACAACCTCGTTCAGAATAGTGA